GGAAGGCTCCAAAAGCAACCTGCCAGGTGATCACCAAATGCCGCAGCAGAGGAGTAGGGGTGGGTCCTGCTAGTTTGAAGCCAAAGGGTTCGGTTAAGCTTAACACATGCTAAAAAAAAAAAAAGAAAAGAAAAGAAAATAGAGACATACTGGAAATGTAGAATTGGTATCTTGCAAGCTCTAATGAAGCTGATTCCAGAAAGGATTATTGGAACCCAGCATGGTGGCCTAGCGGCTAAAGTCCTCGCGTTGAACACACAGGGATCTCAAATAGGCACCGGTTCTAATCCTGGCGGCTCCACTTTCCATCCAGCTCCCTGCCTGTGGCCTGGGAAAGCAGTCAAGGATGGCCCAAGGCCTTGGGACCCTGCACCCACGTGGGAGACTTGGAGGAAATTCCTGGCTCCTGGCGTCGGATTGCTACAGCACCAGCCATTGTGCTCACTTAGGGAGTGAATCATCGGACAGAAGATCTTCTTCTCTGTCTCTATTTCTCTCTGTATATCTGACTTTGCAATGAAAATAAATAAATCTTTAAAAAATTTATAGAAGAAAGAAATAAAGAAAGCTTTAGCTGGGATCCCATATGGGAGCTGGTTCTAATCCCAGCAGCTCCACTTCCCATCCAGCTCCCTGCTTGTGGCCTGGGAAAGCAGTCAAGGATGGCCCAAAGCCTTGGGACCCTGCACCTGCATGGGAGACCTGGAAGAAGTTCCTGGATCCCGGCTTCGGGTCGGCACAGCACCGACCGTTGTGGTCACTTGGGGAAAGAATCATCGGATGAAAGATCTTCTTTTCTGTCTCTCCTCCTCTCTGTATATCTGACTTTGTAATAAAAATAAACAAATCTTTAAAAAAAAAAACAAAACAAGAAAGCTTTGGACCATCTTGTACTGTTTTCCCAGGCTTCAAGCAGGGAGCTGGATGGGAAGTGGAACAGCTGGGACAGGAAACTGTGTCCATATGGAATCCCAGTGGTTACAAACCAAAGATTTAGGCACTGAGCCATTGTGTCTGGCCTGATTTTTTTTTTCCTTTTTCTTTTTTTCTTAAAGGTTTATTTATTTATATTGGAAAGGCAGATTTATAAAGAGAAGGAGAGAAAAAGAGAAAGATCTTCCATTTGCTAAGCTGGAAGAGCCACTTCATCTCCAAGTGGCCACAACTGCTGAAGCTAAGCCAATATGAAGCCAGAAGCTAGGAGCTTCTTGGGGCCTTCCACATGGGTGTAGTATCCCAAGGCTGTGGGCCATTGTCTACTGCTTTCCCGGCCTCAAGCAGAAAGCTGAATGGGATGTGGAGCAGCCAAGGACATGAACCAGCACCCGTATGAGATCCTCGCACATGCAGGGTGAGGGTTTAGCCACTGAGCCATGACACCGTGTCCTGTAGTTTTATAGTTTAACAATTTGGACAGCCTGCTCTTCAGTGTTTGCCCAAGAGAAATGAAAGCATATTGTTATACCCACACAAGGATTTGGATGTGCTCATTGCCAGTTTCTTTGTTATAGTCAGAAGCTGGAATCAGTCCAAATGTTGATGAATGTATAATGTGACATATTTACAAAAAAAAAAAATACTGCTTGCAATGAAAAAGAATTAACTACAGATATATTCCGGATCTGGGCTACTCCTAGTGTAGATTTTTATGTTCACCTGCAGGGACTGCATCCTGACAGAGAAGTTCCCCAAGCTCCTCTATTAGGTCACCGCCCATTGGCAGGTCTTGCACACACTGGTAGGTTCTTGGACCAGCCTGACTTGGCCTACATCCTGTCCTGGTAAGAACAACAGCCTTGCCTGACCAGTCCACATCCATTCTGGCTCTTACTGTTAGATACTACTGTCCAGTTCTGCCTGGTCCACCCCCAGACCTAGCTCTTGTGTGATTCAGTGGGTGCTGAGACCTAGCCCAGCCTTATCTATACCCACCCTGGCTTTTGTGATCATCAGCAGGTGCTGGAGCCCAACTCTGCCTGGCACACCCCAGACCCATTCCACGCCATGCCAAGTATACTGCAACTGTTTCTGGCCCAATTCACTGCCTCATTTCCAGGTCTCGTGATCACCAGTAGGAACCACAACCCAGCTGGGGTGTCCTCTTAGCTCCCTGACCAGGCCTGTTCCTAGCCACAGATCTTGTACTTGTTGGCAGTTGGTCTGACCCAGCCCGGCATAGCCCATCTCACATCTTAGCCTTTACCATCAGATGTGCAGCCTGGCTTGGCCTGGTCAGCCCCCAGTCTCAACTCTTGCTGGTGGGTGCTGCAACCTAGCCCTGCCTGGTATTCCCCTGGCTTTTGTGCAAACCAGTAGTTGTGATAGCCTAACCCAGCATGGCTCACACTCCAACCTGGCTCCTGCACATGCCAGGGTGCGACAGTTCCACTCAGCCTTGCTCACTCTATCCCCTGTCCTCACCCCCACCCCCACCAAACCAGCCCACACACTTGCTGACAAGTGAAGCAGCCCTGCCTGGCTTGACCAACACCCAGACCTGAATCATGTGTTCACCAGTGGGAGCTACACCTGACCATGCGGAGTTCCCCCACCCAGGCCCATTCCCAGATTCAGATCTCACATGTACCAGCGGTTGCTAGGCCCTTACCTGGCATAGTCTGCCCCCTCTGTCTTGGTCTTTGTGTGTGCTGGTAGATGTTGCAGCTTGGCTGCCCCACACCCAGTTCTTGAGTGTTTCTATGGGTGCTGCAGCCTTGACCAGCCCAGCCTGTCCCCAACCCCAGTACTCATGAATGTTGGTGAGGGTGGAGGAGCAGGGTTCCATGGTTGTGCTTAGCTCAGCCTGTCACCCACCCCAGCTCTCCAGCAAACTGGTGGATAATGCAGTTCTATAGGGGTGAGCCCATATATCCTCCACAGAATCTGCCCACAGACCTGGTTCTCTCACATGCTGTTAGTGTTATGGCCCAGCTTAATCTTACCCATCACCTATCTGACACTCACTGGCAGATACTGTGATCTAGCTCTGCCGGGTAGGCCCCCAGCCTTAACTATAGTGTATACTAGTGGGTGGTGGTCACTGGCAATTGATCCTAACTAGCTCAGCTCAGTTCTCCCACATGGGCTGATACATCAGTCTGATCCAGAAAGATACTCTAGCTTCCCTCTTCCAAACTACTCAGCCTCGGCCCTGGCTTATCTGAAAGTACAGTGGTCTTGTCAGAAATCCCCCAGAATCCAGTCCTCACCTGTGATCTACTCCCTCAGCACTTCCCCCTCCCGCACATCCTATACCCCCTTCCCTGGTCAATCCACAGCCCCTCTACTGGCGCGCATATAGGTTCCCCAGCCTGGTCTTCTGGTGTGCTGGCCTAGGGCCCTGCCTACCCACCCAGGATCACAAAGCCAGTTTTCTACCATACGTGCTGGCCTGGGACCCCACTGCTCCACCCAGCCAGGACTCAAGCATGTTAATGAGTCCTCAAGCCCAGTCCATCAGTGCAGCATACCAGCATACTAGCTCAGACCCTAACAACCTCCTCCCGTTCACCCACATGGCATCCAAACATGTAGGTGAGTTCCCAGGCCCGTTTCACCCTGCTGGTCCTTAGCAGAAATATTCTGAGGCCACCTAGGCACTGCCTTGGCAGAAGGATGGTGCCTAAGTCTGGATACTCCATTTTCAATCCAGCTTCCTACAAATAACCTGGGAAAGTAAGGGTGATAGCCTGAGCCCACATGAGAGACCCAGAATAAACTATTGGTTCCTGGCTTCAGACTGACCTATTTCTGGACATTGTAACTGTTTGGGGAGTGAATAAGCATATGATTCACTCTGTCTCTCTTCTCCCTGTTGTAATGTGGCTTTTCAAATAAAAATAAATCTTTCAAGAAAAATATCAAATGATATCTGGGAGAGTCTGATGGGTCAATGTTAGTAGGCTCAGACCCCAGTTTTGGAACCAAACACGTGCAAAGTCTCTTGTACATGTAAGGGTCATCATCAGTGGATATGAAGCAAGATTCTCCAATCATAGTGAGCCTACTTTGATCAGTGGAATTCCGTTAAAAGCAAAACTGGGCTTTCCAGAGAAGAAATTCTGCCTGTAGATAGTAGCAGAGAGTTCCAGGCTGTCCTTCCGAATGGCTTGCCTCTTGGGTTTCGGGGTTGCCCCATCAATCCCAGGAGCACAAAAGCCAACTCCTTCCTATAAGTCTCTTAGCACATATCCCTTGATATCCCTTGCTTGTTGTGTTTCTCTGGGTGAACCCTGATGCTGATTGGATACCTGGAAGTGAGGTGTTGCTATAATCCCGTGGAAGTGACTTTAGAATTGGGCAATGAGGAGAGGTTAGAAGAATTTGGGGGAGCATGATAGGAAAAGCCTAGTTTATATTAAGCAGACTGATGTATGAAATATGGATATTAGAAATCACAGGAGGGGGCTGGCATTAATGCACTTGGGAAAGTAGTAGACTTAAATTCCTACAACCATGCGGGAGACCTGGAAGAAACTCCTGGCTCTTGGTTTCAGCCTAACCCAGCTCCAACCGTGGCAGCCATTTAGGGAGTGAACCAGTGGATGGAAGATCTCTGTCTCTCCCTCTGTCTCTATGTAACTCTGCCCTTCAAATAAATAAGCCTTATAAAAACAAAACAAAACAAAACAAAACAAAAGAAAAACCTTAGAATCAAAGTCACTTTTAAAGCAAGGTTTCAAAAGAAGATGCTACAGAGGAAGATTATTTTGTCAGTTCCTTTAAGCGCAACTCTGTTGCTCAGCTCTCCCTGGGGTCCAATTATTTTTCTTTCTTCAGACTTTTTCCCCAGAGAGAAGTCCAACTGTGAACGAGAAAGCAGAATATTCAAAAACAAAGGCAGATGGAAAGAGCGTTATGGAAGGGAGTGGTAGAGAGTGTGCAGTTCTGCTACCCGAGCTCATGTCTGTCAGCTCTGGGCTCTCTGGACCTGACCTTCCAGCTCCTTCCCTTCATGTGCTGCTTTTGGAGGGCTCTGCCTTGACCACAGGTGGCCCAGCATGAACTGGACGGCCGTCGAACATGGGCCCCTGCTGCTGTCTATCTTGGCAGTAAAAATGTTAATTCTCTGCCTTGCATTTGCTGCTGTAAAAATCTACCAGAGAAAGACATTGGAAGTAAAACAGCAAAAGCTGGAGGCTGAGAAGAAGCAGCAATCCGAGAAGGAAAGCTAAAGCGAAATACCAGAATTTGCTTATGTAAATGTCAGTCTGAATGGACTGTGGCTGAGGACAAGAAAAGAAAGACTACGGGTCAGGAAAGAAGCTCTCAACTTTATTTATTTATTTAAATATTTTATTTTTATTGCAAAGGAGGAGAGACAGAGGAAAACATCCTCTGTCCGATGATTCACTCCCCAAGTGACCCAGATGGGGTCGGTGCTGCACCGATCCGAAGCCAGGAGCCAGGAACCTCCTCCAGGTCTCCCATGTGGGTGCAAGATCCCAAGGCTTTGGGCCCTCCTCGACTGCTTTTCCAGGCCACAAGCAGGGAGCTGGATGAGAAGCAGGGCTGCTGGGACTAGAACCTGCACCTATATGGGATCCCGGTGCATTCAAGGTGAAGACTAACCGCTAGGCCATGGCGCCAGGCCCAGAAGCTCTCAACTTTGAAGAACTTAAAACAGTGTAACTTAAAACCATGTGAACTTTTGTATGCTTTTAAATGATGTAGTATTTCTGTTTGCTGAAATAAAGTACCTTCATAAAAAAAAGATATTTACTTTATTTATTATTAGAAGGCAGAAATACAGAGAGAGAATTTTTCATCCATTGGTTCAATTCTCGAATGGCTGTAGCAGCCAGGGCTGGGCCAAGCTGAACCTAGGAACCAGGAGCTTCATCCAGATATCCCACATGGGTGCAGAGGCCCAAGAACTTGGACCATTCTCTGCTACTTTCCCAAGCCATTAGTGGGTAGCTGGATTGGAAGTGGGATCAGCTAGGACTCAAACTAGAGCCCATAGCAGATGCTGGAGTCCCAGGCACCAGCTTTAATATTGCTTCCAGAACCTTGTGTTTTCCATGTCTGGGGCCCTGTCCCCTGCACTGAAACAGACTTTGTGGGCTGTGGAAATTAAGAGCAGAGACCAGGAAGAGTATCCTGATAATGGTTTTGGTGGCTTCTGTGATTGTTCAGTGAAATTTCCTACAAAGAAGCTGTAGGGCCACCATCAGGCCACCATTGGGGATTCCTGTCTTTTTTTTTTTTTAAGATTTATTTTTATTATTTTTTTATTGGAAAGGCGGATATACAGAGGAGAGACAGAGAGGAGGATCTTCCCTCCGAAGGGAAGACTCTGGGCCATCCTCCACTGCTTTCCCGGGCCACAGGCAGGGAGCTGGATGGGAAGCGGGGCTGCCGGGATAGAACCGGCGCCCATATGGGATCCCGGGCGTGCAAGGCGAGGACCTTAACCACTGCGCCACTGCGCCGGGCCTGATTCCTGTCTTTTTTAAAGATTTATTTTTATTATTTTGTTATTGGAAAGGTGGATATACAGAGAGAAGAGACAGAGAGGAAGATCTTCCATCCGATGATTCACTCCCCAAGTGACCGCAACGGCCAATGCTATGCAGATCCGAAGCCAGGAGCCTCTTCCGGGTCTCCCACGCGGGTGCAGGGTCCCAAAGCTTTGGGCCGTCCTGGACTGTTTTCCCAGGCCACAGGCAGGGAGCTGGAAGGGAAGCGGGGCTGCTGGGATTAGAACCGGCGCCCATATGGGATCCCGGGCGTGCAAGGTGAGGACCTTAACCACTTGCGCCACTGCGCCGGGCCCGGGGATTCCTGTGTTAATCATGTCCAGGGATTGCTTTTTCTGGCATTGCTGGGAGAAACACAGTGAGAGCACTAGTTTGTGAGGAGAATGAGAGGGACTGTTGTGACTACTTTTCTACTTTCATGAGCGGGCAAAGGGAGTGTGAGCACCCTGCATGATTCAGTAGTGCCAGTGTTATTAGATAATGTTTGAGAGCAGGAAGTCTGTCCCCTGCGGCCAGCTATCACAGGAGTCCCTGGAAATTAGAACCAGCCCTGGGGACAGGGATCTGGGGTATAGAATGACTCTAGCACATCTAATTGCACTTCATAATCATTGCAACTCCGACAAAGCAGGACAGGGCTTGTAGCTGGGTCTGCAGGGACAGAGGTCTGGTGAGGGAGGTAGTGATAACAAGGCGTTTGGGGAGGTGGAAAGAAAATCCAGTCCTTGTGCTGGCAATTTCCCAGCCAGCCAGCCAGAACCATTTACAAAGTGTCGTTGGGAGGGAGAGGCACAAGAAGGCAGAGAAGATGCAGTCCCAATGGTAATCCTACCGACTCTTGACCACTTGTATGTGCCACTAACCCTTCCAGCTCATTGTGCATCCGCTGAGGAATGGCCACATCTTACAGCTCAGGGCTGCTTCTCGTGGGGCTCGATGAGGCTTCTCAACTTCATCTATGGGGTGATCGGTGATGGGACTACTCAAGGCTGTCTCAGCCTCTTGGCAGCTCTGAAGGCTAAAAGATCAGTAGCTTGTCATCTGCTGCCTGTAGGATCAAAACTTTTCGACTCCTGTGTTGACCAGGACTGGGGGAGATTTTTCTTGCTATGGGAAACCACGACAGGGTGAAAACAGCTGCTGGTCCTCAGGAGGATGAGTAAGAACCTCTAAGAACAAGGCAATTTTCAAACTCTTGTTTCTTACAGAAGACACAGACAGGAAGAAAAACAGTCTAGGTTAGCTCATTCAGCTCTCAGTATTGAGTGGAGAGACACAGAAGGAGCCTCTTCCATGTCTCCCACGTGGGTGCAGGGTCCCAAGGCTTTGGGCCATCCTCAACTGCTTTCCCAGGCCACAAGCAGGGAGCTGGATGGGAAGTGGAGCTGCTGGGATTAGAACTGGTGCCCATATGGGATCCTGGTGCCTTCAAGGCGAACACCTTAACTGCTATGCTATCACACCGGGCCCTAAAAATAAATCTTGAAAGAAAAACACACACCCAAAAACCAACCAACCAACCAACTAAAGAAAAAGCTACGTTGATTTAAGCTGAGGATGCTGATGTTGTCTCAAGTTCAATGCTGAGATTCAGAGGCTTGAAACAGCTGCCTTTCTGATTTGCCCTTACTGACCTGTCAGCCTAGTGCCTGCTTGTCTGTATACCCTTGTCAAGAGCACCCTGTGTTCCACGTCTGCGTGCCTCTGAGGACAGCACTGTGGGGAACCAGCTGCATGCACCGTGCGCCAATGGAGTTCAACCTGCCCCATGCCTCCTTTCAGGTGAGCTTAGTGTGCGCGTCTTCTTCAGTAAAGAATGACCCAGCCCTTTAAAACACAGGATGAGACTGTTTTAATATTCTCCAAGATATGTGATACATACATATTTTTTTCTTAAAAAATATTTATTTATTTTTATTGAAAAGTCAGATATACAGAGAGAAGGAGAGACAGAAAGGAAGATCTTCCATCTGCTGGTTCATTCCTCAAGTCGCTGCAACAGCCAGAGCTGAGCTGATCTGAAGCCGGGAGCCAGGAGCTTCTTCTTCCTCCTCCTCCTCTTCTTCTTTTTTTTTTTAAAGATTTATTTATTTATTTATTGGAAAGGCAGATATACAGAGAGAAGGAGATAAAGGGACAAAGATCTTTCCTCCATTGGTTCATTCCCCAAGCAGCTGCAATGGCCAGAGCTGAGCTGATCTGAATCTTCTTCCATGTCTCCCACATGGGTGCAGGGTCCCAAGGCTTCAGGCCATTTTTGACTGCTTTCCCAGGCCACAAGCAGGGAGCTGGAAAGTAAGTTGAGTTTTTTTTGTTTTTTTTTTTTTTCACTCAGCATCCATTTTTATAAAACGGGATGCAGGTGTTTGCAAATTGAGGACTTAAGCCCACTAGGCTACTGCGCCAGGCTAAGACAAGACTTTGGATATTTCCAAGACAAGATTTTGGAGTGCTGGTTTTTTTTTTTTTTTAAGATTTATTTTTATTATTTTTTTATTGGAAAGGCAGATATACAGAGAGGAGAGACAGAGAGGAAGATCTTCTATCCGATGATTCACTCCCCAAGTGAGCGCAACGGCCAATGCTATGCCGATCCGAAGCCAGGAGCCTCTTCTGGGTCTCCCACGTGGGTGCAGAGTCCCAAAGCTTTGGGCGGTCCTTGACTGCTTTCCCGGGCCACATGCAGGGAGCTGGAAGGGAAGCAGGGCCGCCGGGATAGAACCGGCGCCCATATGGGATCCCGGGCGTGCAAGGCGAGGACCTTAACCACTGCGCCACTGTGCCGGGCCTGTTTTTTTTTTTTTTTTTTTTTTTTTAATATAAGAGAATATATGTGGATCTGTTTGCCTGTACAAAGACTATGGATGGATTCACCAGAAACTGGTAACAGCCTGTAGGAAGGGGAGCCCTACAGGGCTGGGGACCAAGGTGGAGATTTTGTATTATACACTCTTTTGAATTTTGTATCAAGCTTAAATATTATTTATCAAATAAATAAATATACATAAAGACATAGGAAATTCTTTGGTGAATCATTTTTTGCAAGGTTCATTTGTAATGCAAACAACCGCTCCCTAATTGGCTTTGGAAATGTTGACATGGTATACTGAGTTTCTTAAGGCGTGAAATACCAGCGTCTGTAAGCCACACCCTGAGTGCTCAGCTTGGAGGTCATCAACAAAACCAGCCATGCAAGTGCAACTTTCCAAAAAACCCATGTGATCTAGAGAGGCAGAGCAGGTGGCAGGGGACCTGGAACCAGCGTTTGAGAATGTCAGGGAGAAGAAATCTAGGAGACAGCTGTCTGGCTCCCTTTATTCTCAAATCAGGAGCCAAGGCCCAACAGGAGCCTGGTAAACAGATTCTGCTGTTTTGTATAAGAGGATGGTCCAAACACTTGAGCCTTTGCACCTGCATGAGAGACCCAGATGAAAGCTATGGCTCCTGGTTTCAGACAGGCTCAGCTCCAGATGCTGTGGCCATTGGGAGAGAATCCCAGTGTTTGTCTTTCTCTCTCTGTAATGCTACATTACACAAAATAAGCAAATCTTTTTCTTTTTTCACAGGCTTTTTTTTTTCTTTATTTTTGACAATCTTTACATGGTTAATTAGGGCACAAAGGTTCAAGGGCTACCGGAAAGTGGATAAGACTATTAATATTATTATTTAAGATTTATTTATTTATTAAAGATTAATTTATTTTTATTGCAAAGTCAGATACACAGAGAGAAGGAGAGACATAGGGAAAGATCTTCCATCTGTTAGTTCACTCCTCAAGTCGTTGCAATAGCTAGAGCTGAGCCGATCTGAAGCCAGAAGCTCTTCTGGGTCTCCC